CTATGCTCCACTATTCCTTTATTTCTGCGGAGGAATGCATATCTCAATATCTTCGACACTCGCACACCCCTATCACGCTCAACTTCGTTATCATCTCACTTGGCTCCAATATCATCTCGACAGATCATCAACATCATATTCTGTATGTCGACGGAAAATATCATTCAACAATGTTTCTGTTCATCTATTCGTTGGATCCACCGACGACTCAACATGCTATTTGGATCCTCATCTTCAATGATACCCTCCCCGATGCCAGTTCCCAGTATTTCATAATCTCATCAAAACCTGATTTTATTATGGTGAACTGGTATATCATTCTATTCAGCAGCTTCAAATTTAACCTACAACAAGGACAGTACAGTAGCACCGCTTCTAAATTCTCGGATTCATTTCCGCCATAACGCATGAAGGCTTCACATCCCTCCTTGTATCGGGTGTTCGTGATATCTACGATACCTAGGGAATCTATCCATGACTTGTTCAGGAATTATCCTCATCTTTAAATTATATATAAATATAAATACGAGTTCACAATACTAATACATCCATCTTCTTATACATACACACACATTAAAACATACGTTCATATCATTTAACCAATATGAATATTTATCACATAAAAATATATATAAAGCATACGTAAAAACTAATTACACTAATCTGCGGGATGTCATAGGAAGCTTCTTTATCCATTAAGAATCATAGTAGTGTTACATCCAACTTGCATATTACTTTGTATATTTTCATTTCTGAAATTTCGGCAGCCCTACCCGCTGTTCTTCCCATGACACTGTGCGGATGTTATTGATGCGTATCAGTAATAACCCGAAACGCAGAAAACATGCGCTTATTGTACACGGAGAACAAGCGAATAGGTGCGCCAAACATTCAAGAATGAAAAATCTTACAAAAGTATACAAAGTTTGGATGATGCTCTACTATATCCTAAACCCGCCTGACGAAGACAGATCCATAATTACGAATTTCATACATTTTTATCTATAATATAAATAAACGCTCATTTTTGGGAGAAACTCGTCTCCTAGCCCAAATCTGATCGTATGATCATATATTATAAGTCCAAATAATTGGATGTAATTACTTGGACGGAATCTAGTGTGATATACGTATTTTTACTATTCACCTAAATGGATTATAACACATTATAAAAATTCTATTAATGTGTTATAGTATCACTCTATTTTTTTAAAAAAAATATTTCACATGATTTCACAGTCACAAACTTAAATAATCACACCATACTTAGTAGCACGATATGAAACTTAAATAAGTATAAACTTGTAAGTGTTTAAAACTCAATTAATGATTACTAGTGTTGTTCAAATTGAATTAATGTCATGTAGTTGAGTTATGGTTTTCATGAATTTTACTCGTTTGTTTATCAATAATTAGGATTAAACCAAATTCAACAATAACTAATAATAAAATTGGAAATTTCATATATGTCTTTCAGTAGGAGGAAATCATACCTTTTAAACTGATTCATTACATACGGGACACGCCGGGGGAGGCTCGGGAGTGGTGGGTCAGGAGGGGGGCTGCTCCGATTGGTGAGGGCTGTCGAGGGGATGTGGGAGTTTTCACTGATTGGGGGGAGGGGGCTGTCCTGATGTGGAGGGATGGGGGCCATGAACAGGGGGGATTTGTATCTGTGGGAGGGGCTCCGAGGGGGGGGAAGGGGCTGCCCGAGGGGGGGAGGATTGGAGGGGTTGAGGGAAGGGGAGGTGGGCGCCCGAGGGGGAGGGGATGGAGGTGAGAAGGAGGGGATGGGGGCTCGGGAAGGGGGGTGCGGAGGAGGCCCCGGAGGGGGGCGGAGGAGGTGGCCGAGGGGCGGGAGGCGGAGGAGGGAGGAGGGGGGATGGAGGGCTCGGGAAGGGCGAAGGAGGGGGGTCGGGACGGGGCGGCTGTGGCTGAGGGCGAGGCGAGGAGGGGAGGAGGAGGATGGGGGCGAAGAGAGGGGGTCGGGAGGGGGAGGGCTGCCGAAGCAGGGGCGGGGGGAGGCCGGAGGGAGGGCGGTCGGGAGGGGGTCGGAGCGGAGTCGACGGGTCGGGAGGGGGGGATAAGAGGTTGAGAGAGGATATGGGTTGTGGCGGCTTGGATAACCTGGCAAACTCATAGTTTTGCCCTAGGCAACCTAGAGGAATTCGTCTAGGTTTCAACCTAGCGGAAATTCGTTCGTAGGTTGACTAGTCAACCTAGACGGAAATTCCGTCTAGGTTGGTAGTCAACCTAGACGGAATCCGTCGTAGTTGAGTTAACCTAGACGGAATTCGCGTCTAGGTTGACTAGACAACCAGGCGGACTTCCGTCCTAGGTTGGAGTTAACCAGACGGAATTCACCGTCTAGGGTTGACTGTTGCCGGTCTCGTTCTGTCAACTTAGACGGAATTTTCCTCTGAGTTTGCTCCCAAAATAGACGGGAACAATCTAGACGAAATTTCCGTCTAGTTTGCTGTCCAAACTAGACGGAATTTTTTTCCGTCTAGATTGTTCCGTCTAGTTTGGTCGATTTTCTACTAGTGAACATTCCCCACCATTAAGGGCTGGGTGCGGTGTGTGCCCAGGTGGGCAAATTGGCCTGTCAATCTTTAAGCATTTACCGAGGGTAGAAAGTCATGGATAGGGGAAGTCACAGCTGAAGCATTTTTAAGTAGTTTCATTCTAAACCATTTCAACCGATGAGCATTTGCTAGATCTGTGCTTGTTTCCTGTTTATCTTTTGCTGGCCACTCATACTTGAGTTTTTTCCTTAAGAAATTCAAGTATTAATTATTCATTATATCCCAAGCAACACAATTACAAGAGGTCCAGGCATCTTCATTGCAGTTTGGGAAAATCGCTGCCATCATACAGGGAAGTTGATCTTAAGCTCTTCACCTTGAAGAAGGCCTGCACAACCCTATGGGGTTTGTCCCTTTTGCAAATAGAAACATACTACTCGCGAAACGCCCCTACAAATATATTTCTAGTTGTGGGAACTTGACAGCAAGCTCAGAAGGGTTAGGACAAATTGAGTTGGTATTCATCTACTTAAATGACAATGAATGCGACTTGACAGCAAGTACTGAAGGGTTAGAAAGAGTCATATTTGACCTGGGATTCATTTACTTAATTATGTGTATTGCAAAACTAGCTAATTGGTTGCATGCTTATATTATCAGATCAAGTTAAAAAAAAGAAAGAAAGAACGAAAGAAAAAAGAAATCACTGGGATTTGTGTATGCCTTCTCATGAAGAGAGTGTTTGGCAATCTTTCAAAACTGGGCTAGGTTCAAACCTGACCCAGTTTTGGATGTTTTTCTGTTTGGCAAAATACTGGGCCACAGTTGGCCTGGTTATTTTAGGCCAAAATTTGGCCTTTAAACTGATTTTAGCTTGGACCAGCCCTCTCCTGGTCCAAACGAGAACCAGTTTAGAATAAAACTGGGCTAGGACTGAACCTTTGCTCAATGTTCAGCATGTTTCCAAACACATCCCAAGTCAAGTCTAAAAACTTGAACTGTGTTCATGCAGATTCTCCCTGTGAATATCAAGAGTCTTGCTGGTAGTGTGGCCACCCTAGCCAACTGGTTGACGTCCTGGGTTATCACGATGACTGCGAATTTACTTCTAAGTTGGAGCAGTGGAGGTCCTCTCTTTTTCTCTCTTTCTCTGCCATAAGCACACACAGGCATAAAAAACACACACTAATCTGGCATTTATTGACACACTTGCATGTATACGGTTGTTAGTGCTTTTACCCTTCTAAGTTGGAACAGGTACTTTTACCATCTATACGGTTGTTAGTGCTTTTACCCTTGTGTTTGTGATCATATGGGTTCCTGAGACCAAGGGAAGAACTCTTGAGGAAATACAATGGTCATTCCGATGAGCAATACAACAAAGTCATTGTAGTTTCTGGGATTTCATAGCTCGAAGGTGCTGCTATCAAGACCCACTGTCCATTTATACTTGCAACTGGCCGTTCAAG